AAAATTTAAAAATCGTACATGAAATAGATCCAAATTTCACAATAATCCGATTTCATAATCAGCCGTGACAATATATAGTAATGGATCACCAATGAGAACGCACGAAATACACGGACACAAAAATTATATATATAGATTTATTTGTTTATTTATTTATCGATATTAAAAATTTTTTAATCGGATTTGTAAAATTATTTATATATATATTAATAAAACAATACTTTTAGCCTGATTTTTAATAGAATTGATAACGATGGGCAAAAAATTTTTTAATAGTAACTAAATTTGTTATTAGAACATTGGGCAAAAAATTTGTGAACACCAAAATTTATTTTATTTTATTTCAAGCATCGTTTCACATACATCAAAATCAAAAATTGAAAATAAGATAGATTGGAACCATATTTATTTACATAAATAGCATAAATACGTACGTATGTACTTATTCTTTGCATAAATTTTCATTTGGCTTAAAATCTAAATACGTAGTCTTTTTGTATTATGTACAAATATGGAAAAAAAGTAACCGCTCTGATTGGCAGCTTAAAATGTATAAATTAACTGCATGACTTTTTTTTTTTACAGCTTATAAAATAAAATTAGGTTACGGTAGCAAAAAAAATATATATATATTTTTTTTATCTTAACCAAAATTAATTATTTTAAAATGTAAATAATTATTTTAATTGTTTACTGTTTGCTCCGGACTAAGGTTATTGCGAATATGCTTTCCGGGATGATTCTTTTAGAAAAACTTTGTTTCCCTAATTATACATATATCTTTATTATATATATTTTTTTGCGTAGTCTTAAAAGAGCGAAATAAAGCTACATTGTTTATATTGCAGAAATCTGTTATTACGGTTTGCGTTTATGTTAAGTACATACATTGAGTGCATCATTTAGCTTTATATATATGTATAATAACTTTTCAGCCGATTCACAAAAAAAGGAGATTTCAAAAAGAAACATTTCCAAAAAGGGAATTTACATGTTAAGATGCGGCGATCCTAATGAAATAATTATTCATTTTATCAATTTATTAATTTATTCATTTTATTCATTCAAGGAATATAAAAATGGATTTAATATTCACACACAAAATATTTTTTTAACTTGTTAACACGGCACCTTAAATTCTACAAAGGATATTGTAACGATAGGAACACAAAATCCTTTAAATTTCATTAATGTCAGATACGTCGCATGCATATAATTCACGTCAGGGAAATCAACCTGGACCTCAAAGATCAAAAGTAACACCTGAATGTAGGTTGAAAAATCCAGCAGCGTTAAAGAATAAGAACAGATCAAAATCGATTATTTTAGCAGACGAAAGCACACCATCACATACCTCACATACCTGCAATACAGATTCAATTGAACCCATTCAAGACATAAAGATGAAAAAGACCTGCGCTCGTTGTAAAGAAGCAACTAAATGTGTTAAATTACTTAGTTCTAAAATTGGGAGACTTGAAGAACTAGTAGATTCTTTAGCCGAACGGTGTCGTTTAGATTCAGTAAATAATGAGGTAAATATTCTTAAAACCGATT